CGATTTTTCGCGATGGTGTGCCGATTTTTGGCTAGGTGGGGTGTTTCAGGTTAGGTGGAAAATTCATCTGCGACTCTGCGACGGAAATGGAGATCGAGTTCGAACGTTTTAACGTGGCTTCGAGTAATTTTATATCTATCTTTAACCGAATCATATGTGAAGAAATTCGCGAATAACGATTTTTCGCGATGACGTGCCGATTTCGGTCGCGAAGTTAGGTGGAAAACGTATCTGCGACGCTATGACGGAAATCGAAGGTGATCCAGATCGGACGTTTATCTTGACAGTAATTGCAGAGATAATTGCTGTGGTGTAATTATCGGTAACGATGTTACGGTTGATTCGAGCGGAGTGGGCAGAGCACTGGGTTGGAGTAAGAATAGAATAACGTTAATGAAAAGCGTGGAAACCGTCGATGCTCGGGTGTAGAGAATTTTTGGAATTTTAATTAAAGTGTATTTTAAATAAAGAAATCTCGAGCGGAGTGTATTCAGGAAGAAAATTTTCAGCGAAATATGTCCGAGTGAAAAATTTTAAGCAATGTGTATTCGAATCAAAAATTAAAAAAAAAAAAAATTGCAGTAAAGCATATTTAAATAGAAGATTTTCAGCAAAATATATTTGAGCAAAAAATTTGCAGTGAGGTGTATTTAAGTAAAAAAATTCCATTAAAGCATATTTAAGTGGACAATTTTCAGTGAAGAGAATTTAAGTGAAAAATTTCAACTTACACGTGCTTAAGTCAAAAATGTACAAAGTGTATCTGGGTAAAAATTTTTCTCTGAAATGTATTCAAATAGAGAGTAGTCGATAAAGTATATTCGAATAAAAATTTTAAAACGAGAAATATTCGGTGGAATAATTTTTTCCTTTAATTTCCTAATTAATTATTTTAGCTTTCCGACTTATTGTCAGCCAAAAAATTATTTTCTTTGCGTATTCCTAACCTCGTCACAGGAAGTATCAAGTGGATGTTGAATATTTAATTCGCACTCGAAATCAACTGTACTCCTGTTTAGGACAGGCCAGAATAAATTGTGCCAAGTAAGGGTGTTCCGGTTTCGAATGTTCAATGAGAGACTCTTTCAGGTGGAGGTGTTCCGGTTTCGAACTTTTTTAAACTCAGGTGCCTTATTATTCCTCAAACCACAAATTCTAACCTGTTGAATTACTTCCTATCGTATCGTTAATCATTCCTTTCTTTTATTCTTCTTTAAAGGCTTAATAAATTCAGGATACTTCGAAATTTTTGATTTTAAAAGAATTGCGGTACATCTACGCGTAATTTCTTATGGCTATCTCTGTATTTAGGTATACAGAGGACAAATTATGTGCAAGTGGAATTCGATAAATAACAAATTCTCAAAGTAATAAGAATTGAATTCGAGTTCATTTTTCGACAATTTTTCGTTAATTTTTCTGAACCTCGTCAATAAGCTTTTCAAAATTTTTCTATTGATATACGTAATGGAGGCCTCCGTCAATATCACGACTGTCAAACCAAGCAAAATGGCGCTTTTCAGATATTCCACTTTTGCAATTACCAAAGACACGTAGCTGCTTCGGAGCAAGCTAATTTCGATCTTCATTCGAACAGGCAGGTGTATATAAACACGCATATATAGAAAATGAATGATATCCATGTAAGCACTTCAATTATCGTCATTCGTGTATAGTTAATTTAGAAGTTATATTCAAACATAACATATGTTGTGGATATTACATATGTTCACTTTACAATGTTTTTCTTGCGACTAATTCGAATGCGATTAAAATGCAATTAAAATACAATTAAAAGTGACAGATGTCACCTTATGTCGATTACACGATCGATATATAGAAATTAATTGCTACGCCATTGACGTTAATTATAAATAGATCTAAAACTAACTTTATAGTACGTTCGATCGAATTACTCGATAAAATCGTGGAAAGGAAGAATCGAAACGCGATCGATCACCTTCTCAGCGGTAGTTTCTGCTCTTGACTGTGACAAAAGGCTTCACCGAGGGGGCAGCTCCGGAAGACCCCTTTTTGCAGGGTGCACAGAGCCGCAGAGCACTTTGTTGTCGGATCCTGAATTTTTTTGAAACAGCATCAGGTGCATTCCTGTTTGGGACATCCCATAGCAGGATAACGTTTCACTGCGTGTCAGTGTTTCAGGTATGTTCATTGTCATCCCGCACCCCTGTTCATCTGAGGAGCATCGCGTTCACGAGTCCCCCTTTTTTTAGCCCCCTTTTCAAACATTCACGAAATTCGAACATCTTCGACGATGTCACATTAGCCACAAAGCCGACTGATTGAAACGTCACCATAGTGTATCCTCGTCAAAGACACGACATCTTGATCACTCGCTATAGTAACTCATCTATGGGGATGAATCGCAGGGTAGAAAGTAAAACTATTATGACGAAATTTGAAATAATAAGACATGGATATATATATATAGATTATTATAATAGGTGTCAAAAGAAGAAAATTTATTTTTCTAATTATGTTATTATGTATTATATCATGTATTTATAATATAAAATATATAGTATTTTATATCATGTATTTATATAATTTGTATATTTTATATTATATTTTATATTATGAATTATATTATATACATGGATATAAGGTTA